GCTGGCAGCAGCGCAGAGCAGCATGGCGCAGTGTGCTCGTGCCTCGTTGCTTATCGCACAGGAAAGCGGCATTTGCCAGCAGCTGCAGCTGGGGATGATGCCACTGGCCGTCTGATTTCTGGCTCAGGAACCAAAAAACATGTTTAGAGGTAGCAAGAGCATGCACTTGTTGTTTTAGTTGGTGTTTGGGCTGGCAGGGCTGCTGTCAGAGTGGTGCAGAGAGGAACGGCCAGCAGCCCGTGCCTCCCTTCTGCATGAGGAGCCCCATGCTTGGCTGGATGGGGCTTGGGGTTTCCCAGCCCCTGACCCCCGTGAGAGAGGCTTGGAGACAAAGGTGCTGACTTGCTGCTGCTGCCCGTCCTACCCTCCCAGGCAGCTGGCCCAAACTCTGCCAGTGCTGGCAAATGGGAGCAAACCAGTGAGTTCCAGCAAGGAGTTTACTGGTCCAGGGATGTTTGTTGCATCCAGAATCTTGCAGATCCCTGATTTTTGTGGCTTTATTCTATGGCTGTTGGCTTTACTTCCTTCTTTGGTGAGGGAGAGGCTGTGCAGCCTTTCTGTCTGGGTACCACGCTGCTCAGGCACATGCACAGTGCACAGCAGCATTTGGAGCCCCCACAGCCTTCCAGGAGCATCCTCTGACCGCAGCCACCCTGGGGTTGGCCCACCATCTGGTTTCACTTCATGTCTTTTTTGACTTGTCTTCCCAGTTCCCCAGCTGCATGGGGGGGTTCCCAGAGGCTGTCGGCGTTTTGGAGATGTGGCTGCATGGGGAGGATCCACGTTCTCTGCAAGGCCAGCGGTGGCTGTGCAGCTGGTGTGGCAGTGTTGCAGCCTCTTGAACATCTCAGGTGGATACAGGCACACAAGCCCAGTCTGCTGCCTGTGGGGCCAGTGCTTTGGGCTTGCTGTTGGTCACCCAGCTGGCAATAAGTCCTCCACCCTGACCTTCCTGACAGCAAGAGCACCCTGCTGCTTCACCAGTGGTTTTCAGGTCATCCCACGAGGTTGTCTGGTAACCCAGAGCTGAAGTAAGTGATTGGAAGTTCATGGGTTTGGACAAAGTCTTCTCCCCACCCAGCACTTGCCCCTTGCTGTACCTGAAAGTGAGAGAAGAATCTGCAAAATACAACTGATGGGTGGAGCGGTCCCTTCTCCCCCTGGCAGCTATCCCCAGTGAGGTATTTTAAAAGGTGCGATGGCAGCTCTGCAACCTGGGTGACCGCCGGCCTGTGAGGCCGGGGAGGTGCGGCCGGAGCGCCCTGCACTGGGCCAGCAAGGGAAGTCCTGGTGGAAGCAGGGATTTTTATCTGGGCTGCCTGGGCCCGGCATTTGAATGCTTGGAAATGCTCTTCTCCAGATGTTTCCTAGCACACGCCGGCTCTGTTTATAAACGGCTCCTCAAAGCAAAGCCCGTTGGGGCTGCAGGCAGGCGCTCACGGCAGTGGCCCTGCACGGCTCCCCCGCACCTCGCTACAGGGTCGGGGGCCCGGGGTCACCTCTTTCCCCTCCTGTCTAGAGGGACCAGGGTGGTTAACAAAAGCCCTAAATGCCTCCTCTTCCTTTCTCCTCCCCTCCTCCTGGCCAGCAGCTTCCTGCCCCGATGCATCCCAGTGGTGGCCGGCATCTTTGAGCTGCCTTCCTGGCCTGGCTTTTGCTGCCGGGGGCATGGGGAGGGGGTTACCCCACAGCCGAGGCAGGTGGCACTCTGAACTGCCTGTCCCAAGGGAGATCCTGGCTGCTCCAGGGGCTCGGGCAGGGAGACGTTTCCATTGCATCCAAGCGGGGTTTGGTTCCTTAATAGTTGTCTCGAGGGGGGTCTGCAGCCCCAGCACCCCCTCCCTGCATCCTGGCAGCATGCTCAATAAGCTGCTGCAATGTCCCCCTCATGTTTTGCCACAATTTGAGATGGGTGCCAAGGGGTGGTGCCGGGCAGGACAGAGTGGCACAGGTCACAGGCTGGGTTAGCTGTGTGGCTGGCTGGTAGCTGTGCTCCCCAGCCCCACCTCCTCCGAAGAAAATTAGGCTCTTGTACCTGCCACTCCTTCCACTTCCAGCTGGGTGGACATGCCTTTCAACCACACTCTTCTCTCTCCTGGTCCCTACAGAAGGACAGTGCCAAAACCCTCGTTAGAAGGACAAAACCCAAACGAAATCCTGGCTAAACAGATGCTGCCAGTGGCCCTGCCAGAATACTCTTCCCTTGGTTGGCCAGAGCCCAGCACTGAAAGGGCTGCGGTGCGGTGCTGCGAGCAGGTTCCTGAGCCATCGGTGCTGCAGGGCCACCCATAGCTCGTCCCATCCTGGGTCTTGGCCCAGCATCACTCCCTGGGGACGGCCCTGTCCTCCCCCCAGCCCCGCTCCCCCTACGTGCGGCCTGGGGAGGATGGATCCGTCATGTCAGCACCGGGAGGAAGGGCTGAACAATTGCTGCTCGTCAGTCTGTCTCCTCTCCTTGCAGAAAAGGGGCATGTTGCTCCCTTCTTGTTATCAGCCGTCACCGAGTAATCCGCTGGGGAACGGCACTGCTGAAAAATTGAGTCATTTGATACAGATCTGCTTTCTCCCTGCCGTGGCCTGGCAATGCTGAGGGCTTGGGCAGTGTGCTTTTGGAGGTAAGAACATGAAAGGAGTCGGCTCTGCTGCTGTGGAGCTGGACAGGTGCCTCCCTCTGCAGCACTGCTCCCCCTCTCCCACCTGCCAGCTTCCAGCATCATTTTGTGGACATGGGGGTGGCTTTCCTGGCACTGCTAGGGAGAGGCAGAGCGAGCGGAGTATGCAGAGGTGAGCTTGAGCCAGTCTCTGCTCAGAGCCCTGGTCCTGAGCACGTCGGGAAGATGATCAGTGCAAGGCTGGGTCTTGTTCTTGCAGGCTGAGCTTCCCACCGATGCTGTGTGAAGAGCACTTTGCCCTCCTGTTCTCATGAGCATCCACAAGTGGTCTTTGCAGTGACCTGGTGCCTGTCCCCAGGACATAATTGCTCTTTGCAGAGGCAGAGCCCTTTTTATCCCTTCCCTGCCTTTTAGATCAAATGAGCACTGCTGCCTGCGGGCTCCGATGAGGCAGCCAGTCCTCCACTCCCCTTCGCCGGGAGGCGTGGAGATGGGTGCTCGAAAACTGAGCCCTTATTCCATGGAAAACTGGCACTTAGAAAAACCCTTTCCATCCTGAATCAGGTGAAATGGAATGGTGTGAACACCCTTAATGAATTTAGAAATACCAGAGGTTTGAATCTAAGGCATCTAAATGGAAAGTTGTAAGGAGGTTGTATTGTGTGATGGTTGTGGTTCTCCAGGTCAGGAAGTAAAAAAGGTGCTCACGGTTGACATCATTAATAGATCCACATTTTCTGAGGCCATAATTCTGTTGGTGGCTGTTGAATCCTGGCTCTTGCCTTGGCCGGTCTCACAGTGCTGTGCTGGGGGTCCAGAAGACAGACCAGAAGGATGGATTTAATAGTCTGATCTCTGTACAAGCTATAGGATTCCTTGAGCAACTGTTGGAGCTGAACACAGCTTCTTACAAGAAAAATTTCAATTTAAATGTTTGAAGTGGAGGAGTACCCACTGTGACTCTGGAGCTGTCCCAGGGCTAATGTCCCTGCATCTTCCTACATCTGAATCAGCCCAGCTTCACCTTCCAAGCATGTGACCATTTTAAACCTTCGGGTGCTAAATCCACACCATCTACCAATAAATTCTTGTTTCCTTGAGGTGTGTGGTGACTTTGGTCAGTGTCTGACAGACTGAGAGCTACCAGCAGCAGGCTTGGCTTATTCTTTCTAACAGTATCTGTCCCCAACATCTTCACAGTGAGGTGCAAAGAAAAAAAACCAAAACCTGCTGTAGCTTTACCTTAAGTGTTAGGGCTGTAAGGGAAGTGCAGTGCTGGCATCCTGAGCTGTCAGATGGTGGGGTGGGGGCTGCAGGTCTCTCCTGCCCTCCTCCAAACCACAGGCTTGGCAGCAGAGGATGCTGCTTGGGGGCAGAAAACTTTCAGTCTGAATGGGAAATATTTTTGGGGGCAGATTCAACCCCAGCTGCTTGGGTAATACCATGGGATGAATTCAATTCCTGCAAGTGGGAGCAGCTGGTATGTGCATTGTGGGGTGTGCTCACTGCCCCAGGGCTGAGGAAGGAGCCAAAAAGGCTGCTTGTTTAGGTAGTCTAACCTTTTCCTATTTGAATCACCCTCTGGAGTTAGGTCTCTGTATTGCTAGACTTGCACTGCTCTCTTCTCCTTAGCAGCTGGAAATTAGGTGATGAAGATTGCATCTGCCAGAGCTGCTACAGCTGAGCCTTCCTAGGGGTGCATATGCTGAAGGCAGTGAGTGCTTGTTTAGCTAACGAGATGTTGCCATTGGCTTTCTTTTTTATTTTTATTTTGAAGAAATATTTCTGCCACTCAGATTTATTTTGAGCCTTCTTTTTGCACAGCCTCAAACTGGGGCCCATCTTTGATCCAGAGCTTCCCATAATCAAGTAATAATAATGATGCTGCAAGCTCTGCTGCCAACGTCCTCTTAACTGCAGGACATTTTCCTGGCGTCTACCAGCCGTGGGGGCACTTCTGGTCGTTCGCCCTAGGCGCTGGGATGCCATTTCATCTCCCCACACAGCCGTGTGAGCAGTCACGCGATCCTCTGTCCTGTTGCCTCACCAGAGAGATCCTGATAGAAACAAAAGGGGCTTTAGGAGAGAGCAAGAAGAGTGGTTTGAGGTCTGGGCAATATCCTGTGCAGGGGGCTGGAGAGAGATGCAGCCCACAAAGCACCAGGCTGCTCTGGGGGCCTGGGTGCCTCCAGCCCGCAGAAGACAAGCACTGTGAGATCCCTTTGATGGGCGGTAGGTCCTGTGCTGTGATTCAGACCTGCTCAGACTTGAGGTGGCCGCTCTTCGGGCTGCGCTCCCTGACTCCCCTGTTCCTATTTTTCCTCTCTCTGCAGGCACACGTTCTGGCAGTATCGCCGCGAGAACCCTCAAACCAAAGTAGGGGATCCCCCTCCTGATGGGCTGCCCGGCTTCAACAGTGGTGTCCTGCTCCTGAACCTGGAAGCCATGAGGCAATCCAAGCTCTACAACCAGCTGCTGGAGCCCACCATGGTGCAGAAGCTGACAGAGAAATACCACTTCAAGGGCCACCTCGGGGACCAGGATTTCTTCACCATGGTGGGAATGGAGCACCCAGAGCTCTTCCATGTGCTTGACTGCACATGGAACCGGCAGCTCTGCACGTGGTGGAGGGACCATGGATACAGCGACGTGTTTGACCAGTACTTCCAGTGTGAGGGTGAGGTCAAAATTTACCATGGGAACTGCAACACCCCAATCCCTGAAGACTAGAGCATCTGCCACCGCCAGGAGCAGCTCTGACTGCAACAAGCCCTGCAAAGCCATAGTGGCTGTACCAGCAATCCTTCAGGAAGGCTGGCCAGCCCGGTTCTGTTGCATCCCAAGGGGATCCCTAGGGATCCCAAGAGCGTTCAGTATCCCACTGCCTGTAGCCTCACCCCTCCAGGAGGAAGTGCAGTCCAGTAGTTGGAGCAGGACATCCGCAGTCACTGTGCCCAGGGCTCAGCTCCTGGCTCTGCTTAGGCAAGTCCACAGTGCCTGTCTGTGCCACAGCCACTGGGGCGTGGGGACCGTCGAGGGGCCATCAGGTCACTGCTGCTTTTGTTCATGGCAGGGTGCTGCTCCCTGGTGCTGTGCAGCGTTGCTTTGTCTAGCGATCAGCAGGGGTCCACAGCCAGGCAGCTGGGTTTCGCTTTGGCATCCCTTGGTGGCCCATTTCTGCACCTCATGCAGACCATCCGTCTGGTCAGACACCATCCTCAGGTCATCTTCCTTCTGAAGCATTCCAGAAAAGCGAGAGGGTTTTAAAGACTGAAAAGCTGCTTTAATTTGGGTTACTTAGAAAAATTAAATGCTAGATGAGATTTAAAACCTTCCATTGGTTCTTCTTAGCAGTAAAAGCTTTACTGCCCTATCTTGTCTTAAAAGTGTTCAGTGTACCAATAGGTTCATTTTTTTTAGCTTTGCCTTTAACCTTTTGTACAAGAATAAAGCTGCAGATGTAAAACACACACAGCTGTTTTTCTGTGGCACAACTGAAATCCTGTGCAATAGGAGGTTTCATATGCTTCTTATCATGATTAAAAACTAGTTGATGTATATATCCATTGGGCAGTTGAAAATGGTGCCCCGTGTAGATTATCTCTGTGCTTAATACCATGCCTGTCCCAAGCGAGTGAAGCAAATAAATGGGCTGTCACATGCACCGGACTTCAAAAAAAGATCATCCTCACCACAGCCAGGGTTGGTTTGGAAGGAGCTGGGAGCTGCCTGTGCTATGTATGAGTGGTCTTCAGGCCTGAGCGCTCTCAAATCCTCCCAGCTGGCCCGGCTGGCACGTGCAGGCTCCTGCATAGGTCTGTCAGCAGAGGTGCACACATGCATTAACCCATCTTCAGCCCTGCTTTTTTTTAAACCAAGCCAGCGTGTGCCTGTGTGTGCGTCTGTGCATGCATCTGTGTGACATGCACGTGCAAGAGAAAGGGATGGGGACTTAATTATGGCTTAACCTATTAACAGTGTGTGCAGTGTGTGGCAGGAGTTTCCTGGGCTCCTTCCCCTCTGTCCGTGAATGAACTTTTATCTGTACCGAGGGAGAGGGTCTCCTCCCTCTGGCTGATGTAGGGGGAATGGCAGGCTGCGATGTGGGCTGCAGCCCTAATGCTACCTCTTTGATTTGCTGAACCAATCCATTTCCAAATAGCACAAAAGCTCAGATTGAAGTTTTTTCAACATCCCCAGGGAAGGAGCAGCAAAGAGGTGATTAAAGGTGAGTGAAAGTAGCAGTAGCCTGCTGTATTAGACTCACATTTTTACCAAAACCCAAGGTGATCAGGCCTCACTGGGCAAGGCAACCAGCCAGGGTGCTGGAGGCTGGAGCAGAGCAGGATTTGTGGCAGGCAATGCACTATGATGATGCACCCCGAAGGACGAAGAGGGTTTGCAGTGCTTGGCCAGCTGGAGCTGCTGCTGTGCCCAGAGAGCACGTCCCCTCCCAGGGACCCCGGAGGGAGGCTTTGCTCAGGTAGTCCCTGCTCTCCCTTATGTGTGAGCTGGGTGGGGACGTCCCCACATTGTGTGGCCAAGCAGCCTGGGAGCCACCCACCTCACCCTTGCCCTGGCGGTGCCATGCTGCTCTCCTGAGCTTGCTGGGTGAAGCGGAGAGAGCAGGGCTTCCTGGTGCAGTGTCACAGTCCCATGGTTGCCATTGGCACTTTATCACCACCTTGGTGTGTCCCGAGGCCCCTGCGATTTCCCCGAGTGGCTCCTGGGGCTGCCCCATGTGCACAGCCCCGGCCATGCCTGGGATGCTGCAAGGATTCAGCCCTGCACTCGCCAGTCAGGGCACGCCAGTGGCACCAGTGACACACGGGCCTCGCGTGCCGGGGCAGGGTCTTGCCATCAGTTTGGAAATGGCCATGCTGGAAATACAAGCCAGGTGGCTCATGTCACCGGCCCTGGGGAGCGGTGGGGTGATGAGCAAATGCAGCTTTTTCCCAGGGCTGGGCAGTTCTGGGGTGGCTCTGGGTGTTGGGTCTGGCCCAAAAGCACCATGATGGGTTTGGGATGGTATTGCCACAGGGTGATGCTGAGGCTACTGGCTTTCCCTCTCTGTGGAGTCCCAGGGGCTGCAATGGGGGTACTCTATGGCACCAGGCTGAAAACTTTTGCTTAGGTATTTCTTTTTTAAAAATGGGGGGGGTTGTGTTCAAAATGGCAGTCCACTGGGAAACTCACTGCCTTTTTTTCAGCTGGGAAAAACAGTAAGTGAAACATCTAATTCAGCTCAAGATGGTTTGCCTGGGCACCGCAGCCAGCCCCGCGGCGCAGGTCCCCACGCAGCGGTGCTGCCCCAGCCCAGCCCGCGCTGTCCCTGGGGCCATGACTAAGCACCGCAGGCAGCACGGACCCGCACGCACGCACTATATATAGACTGCATGCAGCCGAGGCCGTGCTGCCTGTGTAATTACCTCCCCTACATGCCCTGCTGATTGCAGGCACTAATGAGCTCAGCTGCAGAAGCTGCTGCCGCAACCTGGGGCTGGCTGGCGTGGGGCTGCCAGCTCAGCCTTTTCGAAGGGTGCTGCCACAGGGCCCGCTTTGGGGCAGAAGCAGGGCTTGCTGTGCTTGGCCGGGGTGGCAGCATCCCTGCGGGCACCGCCTGCACGGGGAGCCCTCGCTCCCCGCAGACAGTTCCTATGCTTGGTGCCCAGCTGGCTGGTGACTGCTGGGCCATCCCGTGCCCTTCCTTTAGTGGTAATTCATGGCAGAATGGGAACTTTCTGTCCCCATGCCTCCTCGCCCCCTGACACTCTCCTGCTGTGCAGCCCAGCCTCAGGGAAACGCTGCTCCAGGGGCATGAGGTCAGAGCTGAGCATCCCCTCCTGGTCTCCATGGCACTGGCTGTTGCAACCAGCACTAGCAACTGACAGCCCAAGCACAGTAAAAGGTGCTCAGAAAGCATTAACCAGCACCAGTTTGCCACCGGGCACTGGGGGTTTGCTGCAGGGTTTTGGCAGCAGCTCTGGGGCTGATGGGCAGCTCCTGGTCCGTGGAGGCTGGCACCATGTCCTCAGGCCAGTGCTGGTCCCCTGCCTAGCAAAGGGGATCTGCAGACTCTAGAGCCCAGTTTTGGGTTGGTTTGGGGCCCCCTGAAGATACAGCAGGCGAAAGGCATCCCTAGGTGAGCAGCAGGTGGGGACATGTTGCTGTGACACACAGTGATGGGGGAGACACTGCTACAGGGAGCAGGGGACCGGCCCCGCCAGCACAAGCTGGCTGCAGGGGGCCATGGGCATCGCGCCCATGGGAGAGCTGTAGTGGCCCTGGCCAGGGTCCGTGAAAGGGGATGGCAGGTTTCACACCAAAGTTACTCAGCCCAGAGCTCCTCTGACATGCCTGTGGACTTCCTGCTTCTTGTCTTCTCACCCTCTTGATCCCAGCGAAGTGCTGCTCATGCCGACAGCCCTATGTTTTTCCAGGATGGAGAAGGAGATGGAAGAGCAAACGAGTCTCCTTGGACTCTTTGTAGAAGATCAAGCTGTGGAAAGTATTTCTGTAGCTTAAGGAGAAAATTCCATTTCTTTTCTTGTATTGTTCAGCATTCATGAGAAATTCCACGTAGAGCAAACAGTATCCCCTATTTTCTGGCCAGCTTTGCTTTCAGCCCTGCGCTTGAGCTCCATGGGATTTTTGCTCTCCTCTCCTGTGTTTCGTAACGCTGTCAGTGTTTACTCTCTTACTCATTTGTACTTCTTTCCCATTTGAAACGATCAATTGTTGGTATAAACTCACCTAGGGAGCAATTACTGTAAGCCTAACCCAAACAGGCGCTGGGGGTGCTCCATTAAGCAATATAACCACCCTCCTCTCTCTGCTGCTCCCAGAGGATACAATATTTACTTTTCAGCTCTCTCCTATTCATACCGAGCGCACTCCGGTCAGCGTGCCAAGAATAACACAAACCATAACAACGGGTTTAAGCACTAAGATGGAGTTCCTGACTTTGCAAAACAAAGAAAAAGAAAAGAAGCCAACCTATTATTTTGCCTTTGCTAAGAAATGCCTGGCTGCAGCAGAGCAAGCAGGCACCGGAACCACCCCTCTGCCTTCAGCAAAGCCGTGGGCAACATGAAATCTACCCCGAGGAAAAGCAGAAAGAGGCAAAAAAGAGCAGTAAGCCTGAGATGTGGGTAGGCAGCTGCAGGCTTTTTTCTTTGAATGAAGATTTTTATTTGGTTGCTGCATTGGTTTGTGAACTTTTTCCTCGAACGCTTTGCAGAGCCATGGAGGGACATGTTCCCTAGCACATTGCTTGTGAATATTTCAGCCAAGTTTTTAGTAGCTCCATCTCTGACCATTGAGCCTCCATGGCTTAATTACTAATTGCTAAGAAATTACTGCCCAGTTTTGTTAGTGTTTTCAGAGCTGTCAGGGTTCAGTTTGTGCATTTCTCCTCCAGAAATTACTTTTTAAGCTAAACAGCTGCTAATGGGGGGAGCACTTGGAGCAAATTACCTTACTGAGATACTACAGAGGAATTAGCTATATTGTACCTAAAGTCTCAATGTTAGTTTAGTCCATTTGCCTCTTGGAAGAAAAAGTTGAAACAAAGCAGTCTGAAGCTGCCAGAATTAGCCACAGGTTTGTCCCTGGCCAGAGGCTTTGGCGTTGCCCACTTGGGGAAGGAGATGCTCAGATTTGAGGAGTGTTCCTGAGATCCAGATGTGTTTTTCCTGGGGCAGATGTTGCTCGCACCACTGTTGTGGCAGGCAGGAAACCATGCCCTGGGGCTCCAGCTCCCCTCCAAACAGATGGGCACCCTAGAGCTCTTTCTCCCAGCTCACTTGGATGGATTTGTCACCCTGCAGCCCTGGCAGGGCATTTGTCCCTGCTGCCAGCATTCACCAGCACAGCCCCAGTGACAGCTTCTCCCACTCCTGCTCAGCCATTGTTTAGCAGAAATTTGTGCCCCTGCTGGTGTCAATCCTGAGGCCATGCAAGCCATGGGCTGCCCAGAGCCCTGTTCTCACAAGGCACCACATGAATATCTCCATTTATCGCCTACAAACCACTCACTCTAAGTGCATTTTGCAGATCTTGAAATGTTCAGGACTGTTGTCATAATGCATATCCTCCCTGGAACTGGTCAGGATAAATATACCCTTTTAAGTACTGAGAATAATCTCAATTTAGGGAACAAAATGCTTGCAGATGCCCTGTGGCACATGGGACTCTAGACAGTGTGTCAGAAAGAAAATATAGGGTTTTTTTCTGTATGCATTTTACTTTCAAACTCATCTTTTTCTATGCTGGAGGACTTTTCTGGCTACCTGGGGAACACAGCAAAGACATACCCTTCCAAAAAGATCTGCCATGCTCAAGAAAGAGGGAAGTTTTTCTATGAAATGCTTAAAAACACCAGCAGCAGTAGGAAAAAAAATGAACAGGCGTGTGAAATTGAACCTGTCAGCTGTGGAATGGGGGCACAGAGAGCTGGCCAGTTAAAGGA